AATGTACTCAATAAATATGCATATCACACCATTAATAATTATTTCTAAATTTATTTATCTAGGGTACTTATACCAGTGATTGACCGCTTTCGACCAGTAAATGAACACTTTTGGATGTGCAATAACTATATTTTCCTTGTTAAATTATGATCGAGCATAGAAAACAAGATGCATCGTTCACTAAAGAATTGAATTAAATCCATACAAATATATTTTTAATTGTTTTTCATATGATATTTTTCAAAATGGTCATTTACTGGTACCCGGTCATTGATTGGTCTGACTACCCTATATGCATTCGGGTAACTGTAAAAATTTCACCGATTGTAAATTGATATAGGGTACTTGGACTAGTGATTGACCGTTTCCGACCAGTAAATAACCACTTTTGGATGTGCAATAATCATTCTTTTATCTTGTTATATGATAATTGGACATAGAAAGCAAGATACTTAGTTCGCTGAAGAATTGAATAACGACCATACAAATATAATTTTAATTGTTTTTCATATCATATTTTCCAAAATGTTCATTCACTGGTACCCGGTCATTGATTGGTCCGACTACCCAAATTAAAATCTTAACATCAATTACATAAAAACATTCCTAGTTATCCATACTTTAAAATTTTTTATGGAGTGAATATATGTGAACGTGATTGACATGTCGATAATATTCTTATATTATATACAGATAATTAATACTTCATAAGCGAGTGTAAATACATGGGCAAATACCATGAAGGTTACAGTAGGGGAGCATTTAAAATTGATCACTGAGTGTCCCTGCTCACTCTCTCACTAAGCCTCCATTTATGAAGGTAAATCGAGCGTACACCAACGGAATTTTGAATGGCAAAATATAAAAACCCAGGCTGATTTTCTGGCAGAACAATTTTCACATTTGAAGGAGCGTGCGGAAAAGGACACGCATGTACCGTATCGGGAGCAACGAATTTGTATAAAAGCTTCCGCTGGCAAGCGGACGCTCATGATTTATTTAATGCGTTCGTGTACTTTTTCGTGCTTCAAGCTATTTTTTACTCCATTTTATTTGGACTGACTGAAAAATTCTTGCTTTTCCGTTCATAAATATGATCAAGGTATATCATATTTCGGACGGTACTTTTATTTATTCGCGGCTCGGGCTGTGCATAATTAAGATTAAAGGTTTTTGATTCGACTGAGAGAGCGAGAGGGTAAAAATGTGCCGAGTTTTTTGGACCATGAATCTTTTTGTGTGTACTGAAAGTTCTTTAGGTGCTGACCTAGAAGAGCCTCGCTAAGAATCTAGCCTGTGTGCGCGTCTTTAAAGTGGATTAAAAGGGGTGCTTCTCGATAAGTTTTAAATCTCTTCTTCTCGCGCTCGAAATTTAAATAATATATGCTTATAAGTATGGAACATTGATTTGATTCGTTTTAGGATAAGACATGCTACGTCCTTGTAGAATATAGTTTTTTTTTTACTGTAACGCATATGTTTTAGAAGAAATACAAAGGCACATATATTAGGCGTGGTTAGTAAATACACCTTACATACACACGAAAATGGTATGGGCGTATAAATATTTTAGCTTAGCCTCCGGGCAACCTTGAGCGCCAAGCAAATCCTTGAGTAAGAATTTCCCCGCAAAATCGGCTTGGCTCTCGAGAGACTAGCCCTTCCCATTGAGCGAAATAATATCGATTGCAGCGTTACGTAGGTACGTGTGGGCTTTTATACATCTCTGCGTTTACATAATTATCAAATAGCGTCTGTATAGATCTATAGAGCTGTGCTAGAGTCAGTTTGGATAATGCCTCGTCGTAGAAGTGCAGGCGCCGAGGCTTAATTCGGCTATATATACGCGAGTTGATGAGCAGTGGAACACGCCGCAGCAAGATAATTGGCCTGTCACTCGCATATTATATATGTGTAGGTGTGTGTACGTTGGTAGTGACAGAAACTGCTTAGCTTATCGCACGCGCTCGCTGCAGCAGCCCTCACCAGGCAGCCAATGACGACTGCGACGCAAACGACGACGACGATGAGCCCAACCCTGCATCTACAGCGCCCAGGAACGATTGTCTCGCTGTATATGCTATAGCGTGTGCAGTGCAATTAGTCGAGTTTAAGCGCAAAGAGAAATTCGAAATTCAGCTCGGAACTGCGGATGCAAATGAGCCATGTATACGCGTGTTCGCGCGTGTAAGAGTTTAACCAGGTTTCCGTATCTCGTCGAGAGATGCGCTCATGGAAGTATTATAAATCGAGATTTATTCGCCGCAAATTTATGCACGAAACTTGGCGCAAGTGCGTGTACATGCGCGCCTGACTAAACAGCGAGCTGCGCTACTACATTATATGCTCGCTAAATACGTCCCAGAATTGCTCGACGCAAAAACAAAAGCTCGCAGGGGCCGGCTAACCAAGATAATGCAATCCTTGTTATTTCATTTTCCATGCATTTTCGTATAATATTACGTATGCGAGGAGACTACAGTGGAAAAGGCTTTAAATAACTGTAAATTTTACGATAGCTCGACGATCAAAGCTAATAAATTCGTAACGAGAGTTGAGTTTTGGCTTCTCGTGACTCGTGAGCACGAGTACTTTGGGGGGAGGAAAGCCACAAAACGACCGTAACCCATTCTCTCTTTCCCTCGGCTCCATGCCACTCGCTCTTTCGCGTGTAATCGTGAGCTTGCGTGACGGATGAGCAAGTCCCTCTCGCCTCACCTTGAAAGTCATCGCATCGTAGCTCGACCTCGTTGCGGGATACTCGTGGATTCCAAATATACACTTGTATATCAAACATATGTACATACGCAAATGTATTTGTTTCTCTAAGCCACTGCTATATTCATGTGATACAAAGTTTTGCATATTTTTTATCACTGTGTAAATGAATATGGAAAATTTTATATCCCGAAGGGTGGGCGAGTATGTGGCACGCCTGCGGCTGAATTAATTTATCGTGTTCGTATATAGGTATGCGTCAAATGTTTTGTTTTCACGCGCACTTTCATCGATCCTGTTTTCAGCAAATGTACAAATACATTGCAATTTTATATCATCACTCGGAGTTTTATTTCACTCGGCTTTGAGATTCAAAAAAATGTATGTCGATGTATAATTGGATGCAATTCGGTATAAAAAATATAGATGTAAGAAAACAGTTGCGTCCATGACTTTGTAAAAATAAGCGCGTAGGCATATTTCATTGTGCCCTTGTGAGAGCGTTACTTGTGTCCAAGAATAATTTAACGATTTTGATAAATCGAGCCAGCCTGTAGCTGCCCCCTATGAATAATAAAACATTAGATTATAACTCATGGGCAACGCGAACAGCTCGTGTTATTGTTCATCGGGAAATTCTTGTATTACAAGTACGTCACGTGCGGCAACTGAGCGCCCTAGAGTTCGAGTCGTTAAAGACCTCCTTCCCTCGTCTTCTTCGGTCTTTTTTTTACTACCCGCTCTTACGACCAGCACAACGAGCACATCGGGTACTACTTATCGTTCTACAATCATAGGAAATTACCCGTCATCCTTACAAGCCATTTGTTCTTGTTCGGGTTTTTTTTTCTCCGGTGGGTCCTGGCAAAAAATTTTTTCTCTTATTTTTCTCTTTTTCTATCCGTTTTTGTTCATTCCACGTCGATCGATTCGATGATATGTGTCTTTTATACGTGAAACGACGATGCGAAGTAATTGATAATACATTATGAGCGGACGTGCGATACATAATAAGTCAGCGAGCTTTTTCTCATCATTTAGAACACATTTTCTCATTGATGCACGTCAGAGTATCGAGCTTTATGAGTGCTCATCGCAATGAAGGCGAAATATGAAAAGCGAAAAATAGTTGGGGCTCTTTATCATCATTCATTCATAAGAGAGAGAGAGAGAGAGAGAGAGACTAGCCTCTCCCCTCTAACCCTATTCTTTTCATTGAGGTGCAGATCGCTGAAAGGGTCAGCACTTGCAATTTTATTTCATTCCCGATAATATATAATTGCATATCGTGTACGAGAATCGGAATGCAGAGAGTAATTCGAGAAAGACGATTGCTTGCGAAAAAAATGAATATCTCTTTACCTTTAAAAAAAAAACTCGTTCAAGTATTGGTTAAGATAAAGCTTTTAATAACTGCTTGTGTGTATATTGTACATTTGTTCGATCATGTGACCCAGTAAACTTTGCATGCCATTGTGTACAAGCTGTGCGCATGATGTGTGCATATAATATAAAAGCTCATGTGCATAACGGCAAGGTGTGCAACGCGTGCGTTACGACCTTCGCTGTATGAACTATAGTGCAGCCAGCCACGCGGTTGTGTAAGGAAGAGCATCGCGAGCGGCCGAGTATAATTCCAAATTGAAACGTAAATTCATGATCGAGTAATATGAACGCGCGCGTCGATAAGCAATTTACAATATAAATGTACGTGCGCGCGCCAGATTGTTTCAATATTTCAAAATAATTTATAATTATTGATAGTCAGTGCGTACATAAATGAAATACGTGATATAACGATTTTGTGCAAAATTGAAATTGAAATTTGCGCACCAGAGTGGCAGAACCGGCAGCAACGCGGCGACTCTCGACGGTGACGCGCAGAAAGGTAATGTTAATTGAGCGCAAACGCACACATTGTGTCCAGTCTATAAACGCACACGTTGCGATATAATCACAAATTTGCGTGCGGAATAGAGTCGATCTTTCTGCACTATGAGCACGTTCATATGGAAAAAAAGCGATCGAGACAGAGAGAAAGATAGAAAGGAAAATTTATCCTTGGCAATATTTTTTTCCACTTCTCTACGTAGTGTATGGAAGCAAGCTGAGATTTATCACTTCCAAGTAATTAAATTGTCTACCCTCTCTCTCTCTCTTCGCACTTTTTCTCTCGGTTCGCGAGCAAATTTTGACATTTTTATTGTGCTTTATGCACTTGCGCGCGTTCACCCAATCATAACCCATTTTGATTTGATTAATGATCGATATTAAAGGCTTACCTGCTTGAATCCTCGATACATGACTCTGATTTCTTGTCTAGAGAACTTGGTCTGCCTAAGGAGCTCCTCGAGCGCCACTGGCCTGGTCGTCTGGTGACGAGCTCGGGCGCTTTCAAATTCGAACAGGGCCTCCTCGGGGCCCGGCGAATCTGGTGGCGTCGCCATTGAACACTTTTATATTTTTATTTAAACAATACGTTGAATAAGTAGAAACTTGATGAGAATAGTTGACTATTCGTTACTCGGTAGCATCGATATCGGTCTTTCGTTTCCCTCTCTCGTGTCTTCAATCACGCGTGTTCGCGCACAAAATCAAGCACTCACTGATTTCGTACGCACTCGTGTGTGGCTAAGTGCACGCTTAGTAGTTGCAAGTAGAGGCTTATGCGCCGCTGACCTTGATTGTCGACGATTCACGTTCCAATAGTCGAGGAGCTGTTCTCTCCTCGGCGCTCATTTTTTTTCACTCTTCCTCTGCAAAAGAAAACAAAAGGAACACGGGGCATATTTATTGATCTTTCTGACATCAATTAAAAGACGATTACAAATTCATTTAAACGCGTCAATCGAGTTCTCGCGCGAAATGGCTCATTAGCAGCCCACCTCCTCGCCTCCTCTCCGCGCTAGCTAGCAGCAATAGCTGTGCTAGAAACGTTAGAGTGCGACTACGCTTTATTACAGCAGCTGGCCAAAAGCTTTGCAAGCTCGAGACAGTTTAAGTAGCCGGTCACTCTTGCTACGGCTAAAACTTGAATATTTTATTGCTTTTATAATGCTATAATATATTATTTGCCTTTGATATTAAGAACTACAATCACCATCATAGTCAAGAGCAATAATTATTTACACTAATTTTTTAACAATATATGAGTTGTCTTTGTCCTAACATAACTGTCGCTACACAATCGACATACTTATATCGAGTGAATTTCCGAAAAATTACTTTAGTTTTTTCACTTGCTATACTTTTAGCTGCACAGTACAGTTTTGATCGCGGACTACAATGGAAAAAAAGTAAATGAAAAATAGATGTCGAGTATTCAAGAATGCGAAACAAAGCAATGTAAAATCTTCGAATTGGAATGTGAGTCAAACAAGTTTACAAGCGCGCTAGCCTCACTTCTCACACACTTTACATATTTATACTTGGTTACATATTTCAAGTTTTCCAAAGTTCAGATGTTCCAATTGCTGCTGCTTTTGCAGCTTCGTACGCTCTGGAATTTTTGCTGAATTTCGCCACTTTTGTCACTTTTTATAAGACTCGACTGCAGGTGTTTAAAAAAAAAAAAAAAAAAAAATACATAACGCGTATAGAACGCGTTGGAATAATTTAGTGATGACTTCTGTTAATTCAATCCCCGTATACTAATGTTTCAAAAGTCGACAAGTGACTTTTTTCCCTCGAGAGGGAGAAAGCGATGTAATCCAATAAAAGTCGGCTGACCTCGCTGATTTTTAAAGCTTTCTATTTCCTTTATAGCGGCGTAATTTGTTTAACAAAAAAAAACCTTTTGACCTTGACTCGGCTCCGAGTGATATATTGCATTACATAGCCTGGAGGAGCTGCAACTACTTACGATCGTACTCTTTCGCTAGTACACGGTAAGGAGTAGTATACATACGCATGCAGGAGTACTTAATTCCACGCGTACGTAGGTGGATGTATCATGCACACGCGGATACATATTTACGCGACACAGTGTGCGGCCCTCAACGCGCACGCGAAATTTTGCAATTAATATCTCATAATCCCATGGGCAAAGTAATAAGTCGATTATTAAAAACTTGCGCGCGCACGTATATAAGCTGGCTGTTATAATAATTTACCCTCCCTCCTCCCTCTTTCCTTTCCCTCCTCCTGTCCCCATGTATACACGTATAAACGCGAGGGGCTGGATATAATAATGCAATAACATCGTTGACGTCGCGCGTAATCCTATAATAATTTGATCGAAAAAAAGGCCACAGAGATTATTCTCTCGCAGGCGAGAGAATGAGAGCTCGAAAGATAATAAAGTCAATGCTAATGACGAGCTCGATTCATGGGTTACGCCGAGTATATTTTCTTTTGCGCGAGTCCAGTCTCCTTGTGCAGCTGAGCTTCTTTGCAGCATAATTAAATAGCGCAAAAGCGCCGAGAAAGGAAAGGAAAATGTGACGGAGAAAAGATCGAGTTGGAGGAAAGACGGCGTTGGTTGGAAGCGTACGAGCTCCACCTACGCTCTCGAGGCCGTCCGATGTGGCCGTGCACGCATATATTCAAGGACTGCAGCACTGCGTGTACGCGAGCTAGCGCATCTACACCGAGACAGCGGAGACGCGCGCGTCTCGAGTATCATACAGGCCGTGCAAAAAGCTCACCTGTTTGGCAAAATGTTCCTTCAAGCCTCCAACGACTTTATTCCAGCTTCTCTTGCACAGGCTGGCATCGAGTCGAGTCCTTTTTTCGCGCTCGGAGCTTGGAACGCCGGGCGTCAAACGTCCACCGTGATCGAATAGCAGCCTCGCTGTAGCCGCGTGCACGAATCGCTCCTCGTTGTTGACGTTTTCTTCGATGTCGTCTTGGCTCTCGTAGTCGTCGTTGTCGTCGTCGTCGTCGTCGTCTTCTTTGTCACAGTCGCATCTACGAGCTGCTCCATCGTATCGAAACGGAGATAAGCGCGAACCTCCCCGAGTTTCAATGCGAGCAATGACTATTGGACACAAGACCGATGAATCGAACGGGCATCAGCGAAATATCATATTTCAAACGAAGCCTCCAAGAGAACTATAATGAAATTATTGATGCACTCCATTAAAAGACGACATGTCTTGATTTTCCTCTGGCAGTTACACAGACAATTGCAGACACTCACGCACACGCATAGAGCACAGACACACCGAACACAAATCAAAGTCGCGCGCGCGGTCTATCGTCCAACGCTGGACCGCAACGTTAACCGGACGACGTCGAGTCGCTGACTGGCCGTCCGTCGCTCGCCGTCGATTCTGCACTGTGCCAAAGCGAGAGGGAAAGAGGCGGGCGTTGCATCTCCTCTGCAGACTCTGCACCTATCCTATACCTACATACCTACCGCCCGGCAATTGGCGCGCCGGCGCAGCACAACATTCCGTACGCAGTATCATCGTCCGAGTCAAACACTGCCACTAATAGTTTTTGCACTGGCTCTTGTAACGCGTGTACTGCGCGGCTGCAATCAGGGAAAAGCAGCGGCTTCTCGCCCAACGAATTATGTTCGATTTCGATTGTCGCTTAGGTCCTTTCGTGTACATGCCGTTTCGGCAACTAGTGCATGAGCCCTCGAGGGAGAGATGAAGCGCCTTGTTTTCCTCCGACATATCTGCAGGCCAGAGTGCTTTCTGTAACCGGTGAATATGCGTTTCATCGAACGCAGTATACACCGAATTGACTTTCAAAGTCAAGTTACACAACTAAACCTCTGCCTCTTGAAAAGTTTAGTAAACTCTTTTAAAATTAGACTGTCTTAAAGGATCATTCTGTTTCACACCAATCAAAGAAACATGATTCTTTGCATTTGTATTGAAGAATTAACGCTACAAGTAAATCTGATTTTTTTCCTTACAGTAATCTTTGATAACTGGTTTCAGTATTGAACTAACTGAACCAAATTTTTCGTGTTCAATAAAGTAACTTTTGAAATTTGTAAAAAAAGTTTTTATTTGACGTTGATCCACGTCTGCATCTCCATAAGCATTTGAGAAAAGCCTTTAATATTACCTGCGATTTAAATAAAAAGATTTATATTAAAAAAGTGTTTTGTTTTCTATGCTATTAACTATTGTTGAAGTAATCCGAATAAAAAATAATAATAATGATTGATATCGATGAGAAAAAATTTTAAAAATTCGCTATTAAAACTATTAACAACTATTAATAACTAATTAAAATTATTAATTTAAAAGAATGAAAATATTCGAAATACTTAATATGTTAAAGGTTCCAAAGATATCTATTTATGTAAAAAATAACCATGAGCAGAATTTAAACTTGAAGTAATCGATCGATCGATCCAGGAGTTTTTTAATGATAAAAATGGATAACGACTAAAAAAACTTGAATACAGATTTTGACTGACTTGGCATTCGAATTTCTATATCAAATTTTAGGACTTGATTTTAAAAGTTATAAGCAATTAGAAAATACAAAAGAATCGATTTTTTGAAAGTTATTAAAATTTCTGATCCAGAGACTGATTGATTGATCGAGTTACAGAGCTCACATCTTGCAGTTCATAAAGCAGGGACACTATGCGGAGTGCGGACATTAATTTTGTTCCTGGAACATGAATTGGAACAAGTATAAGCATATAGATTCAACATTCGAATGGGACAAAATTTTGAATTTAAGAGCAAACTAAGACCTCGTTTCAAATCCATCATTCCGTTCGCTTCTACTGTTCTGCCTTCTGCTGTCTGCAACTTTCTATAGTGATTCGTTCATTCGTTTTGTACGGATCACCATAAACTTTTGGCAGTTTGCATTGGAATTTTGTTTTTTTTTTTTTTTAATTTAACGTACAAGTTAACTGTCAAAATGTCAGTGATGCACATTATGTCAAGCTTACGAATTGTAGTAAGCAATAGAGTAGGAATGATTGTTAATCGCAATTTACACAATCCCGGTAGAGGTTAGTTTTAATACATGTTTAAGAATTTGTTTATTGTTTACAATTTTTTTAAACATTTTAAAATTTATCGCTCAATTGTAGTTACTTCATCAATTGCGTCGCCAGCAAAAACTTCCGAGGATAGAGATGCTGTATGTAAACACTCCATAGAACATTGTCTTTAATATTTAGTTAATTTAATTCAAATTTAACAAGAATTATTGTTTCAGCCCATTGAAATGGAAAATCCTTACACACAAAAAAAAGAAAAGTGCATTTTGTGTAAATATAACATTGAGCCTGATTACAAAAATGTTAGATTAATTTCTCAATTTCAAAGTCGCTATACTGGTAGAGTCTACGCTAAACATATAACAGGCCTGTGTCAAGCACAGCAAGAAAAAGTTGAAAGAGAAATACATAAGGCTCAACATGCTGGTAAATTGATTCAAACATTTGTCTTTAATTTTTTAACTATAGTAATTTTTCAAGAATAAGTTAAATTTGAAAAAACTATGTTTACAGGTATGATGGGTTATTACACAAAAGAAGCTGAATTCGTTGACGATCCTATGCTTTTTGATATTGACAATCCATTTAGACCACATAAATATTAATTGTGATCTTGTATGTTGTGTAAAATAACTTTATTGTTTTGTATATATGTTAAATTTTACTTGAAAGTAAAATTATTTATAAGACTTGATGCTACTTGTAAATTTACATAAATGCTTGCTACAAAAATTACAAAAAAAAAATAAAACCATCTATATAAAATATACGATTTCTACAAATATTTAAATGTTCAATATCAAATTCACATAGCTCAAAGATAGCGCTACTGTTTGTTATGTTTTTTTTCGTTCCCGGGGTAACCGCGCTCAAGCGTGCACATGTTCGACGCCGTTACTAAACCTGCTTACCCCTAATGTTACTGTACGTGATGTTATTATGTTAAAAATTAAAACGAGAAAATGCTCGACGATGCAGATCTTTTTGCACAATTGTGTCGAAAACGCGGCATTATTGCAGAACCAGACATTGTAAAGGCCGTCAAGACGAGTTGGTAAGTTTGAATATTATACTGAAACCTTTCAAAATTTTATCAATGAACTGCAGCTCAATATCAAAATAACATTTTTAGTACGACTGGCCAACTCTTTCTTGGAAACACATCAATTATAGCTGGTCTCTGTGATATAATTGCACAAGTATTAACATCCAGTTCTAATATAAAAGTGTTGGATCTCAGCGATTGCATGCTACTTTCAAAAGGCTTAACTTCCATATTCAAAGCGTTATCTCAGGGTTCTAGTGTTCATTCACTATTTCTTAAAGGCAACAATATAAGTGGTCATTTAGTTGATCAATTAGGTGAACTTTTCTTAAGCAACAATACTCTCAAAATTGTACATATTGAATGGAACAATCTTGGAGGGCAGGTACAATCATTTAGTAAATTTTGTACTGGTCTAGCAAGGAATCATCACATTGAAGAATTAGACTTAAGGTACAATCAAATATCAACCTTATGTGCAGATGCCTTAGCAGCAGCCTTTATAACTAATAAAAATTTAAAACGAGTGGATTTGTCTTGGAATTCTTTGGGTCGGTATCATTTTTAACAACGGTAAAATTGAACCCATGCTGCAATACTTATTAAGTGATTTTTTCAGGTATGACGGGTGGTCAGAAAATCCTTCAAGGCATTAAACAAAATTATAATATAGTCACACTTAATGTTAAAGGCAACTGTATTCCAAGTGATATACATTCAGCAATCAAAGAGCAAATAATGGAAAATCAAAAAAGGAAAATACTTGCTGAAAAACCAAAAAGTATTTTTCATATACAAGATCGGGTTTCAGTGGATTCAAGTGAAGATGATAATCAAGTGATGGTCAGTAAGAAAAAACATAAAAAGAAAAAAGAAAAAGAAAAGGCAAGAACACATTTATTGGAAGAACACAGAGGAACACCATTGGGCAATTCTGGCAACGATGATGAGGAAAATTCTAAAAAATCAAGTAATAGAAGTAACACTTATGTTAATGAAAAAATTCAAACCTTAAATCAAATGTTATTGGAAAGATCTGCTGCCATTGACGTTTTGAAAACTGAAATAGATACAGTAAATAGTGAATTAAAAATTATAGAAACAGAAAACAGAGATCTGAAATCTGAAATAGAAAAATTGAAGAAAGAGAACAATAACATTTTAGAGGAAAGAAGTACAGAAATAGAAAATTTGAAAAAATATAATCTTAAAGAAAAAGAAAATTGGAAAGAAACTTTCAAAGAGCTTGAAGAATTCAATCATAATAACATTAAATTAAAACAAGAAGCAGAAAATAAACTTAGAACATATGAAAAAGAATTACGAAAATCTGCATTAGAATTACAATCTTTAAAAGAAAAACACTCATCGACAGTACAATCATTAGAAGATACTATATCCGATTGTAAGACAGAGGTACACAGAGTTAAAAGAGAAGCTGCAGAGAAAGAAACTCGATATCGTATAGAAACAAACGCCCTGAAAGAAACATTAAAAGAGACTACTGACGCTCTGGAGAAATGTCAAGAACAACTGCAAAAGCTTAGAAATGATCTGCGTGAGTCCCATGAAATACAAACCAAACTTAAAATTAAAACCGATGATGCTGAACGCTTTGCAGCCCGTACTGCTAAAATAGAGGAATCATTAATAAAATCCAAAGAGGAGCGAGATAAATTGGAAGATAAACTTCAAGAATCAAGAAAATTAGTGGCTACATTGCAAAAACAAGTGATAAAATTGCAAGAAGAATCTATAGAGCCGCAGAAACGATATGAATCTTTAAGACTAGAGTTGCAAATTGAAAGAGAGAAGTCAGAAAATTTAAAGAAAGATATACTTGAAGAACGATCGAGATTAAAAGAACAAAACGAACAATTACAAAAAATGATAAATCAAATTAATAATTTATATGCTCAACTTAGTGAGGCACAAAAAAACCATAGTGAGGCCTTGAGAGTAAAGAACGGTGAGATTGACAAATTGAAAAATACCATTGCACAAAAAACCAGAGATCTTGATGAATACAAGTAAGTTGTGCCACTTTCAATTTCTTCAAACAAAAAACTGTTAATATAAATGCAGTCACTATTTTCAGATCTGAGCAAGTTCAGCGAGCTCATCAGTTTCAAGCAGCCATCTCAAAGTATCTTGGTGGATTTAACGAAAGTAACGCTCAAATTTCTTGAGCGGTACTAATTTATTGTACAAAGTTAACGAAAATTACATATAACTTAGTGCCGAGATTCTTTTGTGAATAGAAAAAGATAATCTATTTTCTAATGCTTTGAATGCAACAAAATAAGTGTTCTATGTTATAATATGTACAGGTCAACAAAATGAGAATCAATACTCGTGATTTAATAAATAGTTTTATGATTTATTTCTTTTTAATTATGAACATTTTTTTTTAATCATGTTCAATGGTAAAAACAAAGTATGCAAATCGATCGTTTAATGCAAAAACGAACATATTTTAAAAAATTGGCAGTTGAAGGCGCCTGGTCAGTCTCTTGTATATAATTTTTTTTGACTATCGTCCAAAATATTTATAAACCAAATAATATAGTACAATTCAATAAATATATAATTCATTATAGCTATATTATATACATTTTTTATACCATTAATCAAGTTCGCTTAATTCGCTGCGAATCGGTTGTTTGAAAAATAATTACTAGAGCCATGCTCCAAACAAAACGTTTTCTGGTTTCTAATATAGAAACAGTACAAAAACCTATGTGCAACATTCAATTATATTAAGAGTACAAAAAACAGTCACGCACATGTAACACAACTTTTACGCATAAATCAAATTTTTCTACTTACACAAAACAAACACATTGTTATCAATAGCTAAATACGAAGTTAACTTTTCATTCGGAGAAACTTTATTTTGAATCTTAACTGTGCGATTGACGAGTTTTGGCAATTACAAAATTAATATTTAACTTGAAATATCATATTATTCAATTGAAGTTAATCAATTGTGTAAGAATCAGTGAAAACCATAAAGAATGGTTAATTCGATTCTATTAATAAGTAAATTTAATCAATTTTATTATTCTAAATTTATTACTAATACTCGCATAAAAGTATTTTCTTTCTAGCTAGGTGGATTTTATTAAATAATTGGCATTGATGAAAATTTTTATAAAGCTTAAATTACTCTGAGAATAACGTTCTATAGTAATAAAATAATTTTTCTATTTTTTTACTCAGAGTTTGACATATTCATAGAAAAATACGGTTCAATTCTCTAAGATGAAATTGTTATTTACAATTCACGTAAATTACTTTGTACTGTACATTAATCAAATGAATAGAAAAATAAACAAAGCAATAAAATCATGAATGCATCATTAAAAATAACGATTTCGTTTGAAAATACCATTCAATCGTTTAAAATGCAATTTATCTTTTTTAATTTTTCCTATCTTTAAACACACGAATTTAAAAAGATCTCTAATTCGTATTAAAAAATAATTCTATTTGGTCAAAATCTACGATCTGATGCAAGTTTCCTCTGCACAGCATAATTTAAATTCAATTTTAATACATATAAGCTTCGGGATTTGAAATGAAAGTATTATAGTTTTAATAAGCAAAAACTTAAAATACTGAAAAAATGTTTCATGTATGTTGTAAATTTTTTTGTAGAAAGTAGTTGCTTTTAATTTGAAGGTATTTCCATGTGATATATTTTAAAATAAAACATATCACAGTAAATAATTTAACTTTAATTTAAAAAAAAAACCAAAATAACTGATTTTAAAAGAGATAATCTACTACTTTCTACTTTAAGTTTTTACTTGCGTAAGTTAGACTAGATATTTTTTCTTCTAGAATAGTTAATACATAAAGTGAGTTACTCAAAACATTCAATCTCTCACTAGAAAGGACTTATATTTATTACATATATTTTTAACTCGTTCTAAAAAACATATTCATATGCTGATGCAAAGGAAACTATTTTCTCAAATAATTTCAAACAAATCGCACCTTCCACATCATTCACTCTTATATTCCTTTCTAAATCCTTTGGAAAACACTCTTTTCACATCGTATAAGGATATTCCTCGATATAAGCTTTTACACGTTGAGGTAATTTCTGTATTTGTGAAGACAATATTTTGCGATTCTTGAAAACGGATATTCTTGATAGATGAGATAAAGACCGAACACTCTTCAAAATAGGTTCTTCTAGGCACATTTTTGAATGCATTTCACCATAATAACCTACCCAAACACTTTGATATCGGCCAGTTGGGTTTTTAGAGTAGGCAATATAATGTTCAATCATTCTAATTGGGCATGGAAATATTGGTACTTTGTTCCAACCTGGATGCAGAATGGTATCAAAACTGAAACAACCATTCACGTATGATATCCTAACGGCAATGTGTCCGGATGTCGTCTTTATCGATAAAGAAAAGGTGAACCTAGAACGGTGAACATAACGTTTAATTAACATGACTTTTGAAAAATTGGTGTTTATTTTCTACGGATAAAAAACAAACCTTTTATCGCTACTGTCGCGCAATAACCATCTTCCTATAGGTGCATTTTTAAGTAAAACGTCCGCTTGACTCCATGTGAAATTTTCGTAATACCATCCACTCGCAAGTAGAGTTTTTTTGATATCCTTAAGTCTTGCAATTTCGGGTTCCGTCAGAATTCTCATTTCACTGTCGCCCGGGGGTGAAATCCAATGCATCGCTATCGTGAATTCATCGAAATTTATGATTCCACCGCCGAAGAAATGACAAAACGGAATAGTGCGCTTTGCATAAACGCATTTGTTCGAATTGCCGTTGTCGTTCATATCATTTGACTGATACCCTTTGCTACACCAGCAGCAGGCATTGATATTTCGACAGGCTAGTATACTAGAGATAACTTTGTGACATATTGAGTGATCACAGCAATTGACATTGCAATGACTGCGACAGCAACTATTGCTATTATTTTCGTTATAACTATTGTTTTCTTTACTACAGCAATTGTGATTTTCGGTGCACATATTGATTTTATCTGGTGATGAAGAATCTTTAGAAACTTCAGAGACTTCAGAGACTTCAGGGACTTTAGAAGTTTCTGAACTTACGCAAGTTTCAGGAGTAATGAATATTGCTGAAGTCGTTCCACAGTAGCTCGTTTCAGTTGAGTTTTCATCATCCACTGTACAAGGTATAGTAGTAATAAATGTAGGCGGTAGTTGTATCATACTGCAAAATAGAATAAAAATTACATGTTAGAAATTTTATATAATCTGTGACGGATGCAGACAGCGACTAAAGTGTACGTTAAGCGCGAAAAACGTACGATTATGGCAAATGATAGCAAATTAAGTGTGACTTGTATGTTACAGTGTCGAACGAAAAGAAGAGAGAAACCATTTGAAAGATTTGCCTGTAAAGAAAAATAATTGCGTACCGGCACAAAGATTCCAGATCCTTGCCACTGATGAGCGGTTGTTCCTCAACGGGTTTTTGCTTGACCAAGCAATCACCACCAGACGAAAAGGTTTTAATGTGTACTCGTTGTACGTTGACGAGGTGCATTCCGGCTTCAGGATCTCCGTCGAAGCTAGTGGTGGGTGGACAATCGTTGAACAAGATTATTCCCCCGCCAGACAAGATTTTCGTTTGGCTTGAAATTTTGGTAGTAGGAGGATCCACCGATACTTCACAGGACAAACGAGTAATATTAGGCTCCTGTGAGGTGGTTGACATATATTCGTCTAGGCTAGTGTTGTCGCTGTAGCCACAGTCGCTACCGTAGATACTACTGGCAACCTCATCGCTGTCATAGAAGTCGTAGTTGTATTCCGCGCTGCAAATGCAGGCGTGTACATTGACGACTTGACTACACCTCGAACATGTGAAGAACAATGATATGTTGCTGCCGTTGTCAGCTTGAGTGTCCTCGAATTCCTTCATCATTGCGGAATCGATGTCCTCGTAACTGCAGTCTTCGCCATCCAAGTCCTGCAAAATAAAAACAAAAGTTAAATTAAACTAAATAATACGAGAAAAATAAAGGTCTTTATGGTCTTATTTTATATTAGACATAGATTAATGGTTATGGTAAAATATTTCAAAAGTAAAGGAAAAAATGCCATCCACCGCTTGTTTTTGAAAAGCCAATAAAATTTCGTCTATCAATTTATTATTTCGGTATACGCGTGTCCATGATCGAGCTGTATGAAATTCATATCTAGAGTAAGCAAATGTAGCTAACATGTAGGAAAGATATAATATTATATAAAAATTTGTTATGGAACTTCTTGACGGTTGTACAGTATATTATACCCCTTTTCTGATATGAGCTATTTTTCAACGCCTAACAATACCCTAGTTACGCGTTTTTTGCGAACACTTTTTTGTTTCTCGCGCGCATGTTCTTCGACAACAGACAGAGGAAAAGAAAGAGAGAGAGAGAGAGAGCTCCAAGAAAAAAATAATGCGAAACTTGTGCGAAGGTTGCAGAATAGAAGTCTCATAACACATAAAAAACATTCAAACACGGGCAGAAGTATGTAAGTGAGCGAGAAAATTATTCCGTGAAAAACTTTCACGAATTTGGGTCAGCGTTGCGCGACTGAATAAACACTTTGCAGATACCGCTTGCAGATTTACTTGCATAATGTCATCTCTACGCTATGCAAAATACACGACCGAATGTGCATGGTCAGTTTTGGGCGTAGGCGAGCTCGCAAGAACGTTTTCGTGTAGCTTGGGAATATTTGGAAATTGTTCTCTTACTTTTAGAAAAAGAAGATCTGCAAATGTCGGCGAGAGGCTAAAAACCCTTTGCCACCTATATCTTTGGAATACACATAATACTTTGGGCCACAGGCACACGTGTGTTGTATAGTCGACAGCGGTATGGCAGCAGAAAAGAGAGAAAGAGGCAAGAGCAGCAGCCAGCAACAATTTCGCGGAAGCGGCAGTCGCTGCGAACCGAGCCACATTACCACGAACTCTCCTCTTGCTCTCTTATATAGCTGTCGCAATTCTATATGCTTCAGCCGTAAGCGCGCGCCGGCCAGAAGGCCAACAGTCTCGGAGTATTCAGCCATAGCAATGAAGTCACAATCATTTTTTGGACGAGAAATGCAATGCTTAGAAACCAGCTGTGTGGTCAATTCCACAAGTGCATCAAGGGAAGAAGCCTCAAGCCCCCTTTCAATTTTACTTTTGTGCGAATGTAAAAATGATAAAAGAGAGAGCCTCACACGTGTATGCTCCAAGGTATATATTGGTACACCAATACACTCATGCGAATAATACAATGTAAGTTTTAATGATTCTGAGAAGGCGATAAATACACTTACATGTGTATAAATGGGGAAAAATAGGAAAAATTGAATGTGATTTCAAGGAATCGAGAAGATTAGCATCTAATGCAAAGATATACGCGCACGTTTACATTTAGGTGTACCGTAAATATACATTACATATACGCCGGAAATCGTTCGAATTCGTATGAGAACTACCTATGTCGTGTGTTTTGGCCTGGCTACCTATCTTCCGAATTTTCGTATTTTATAGTTTAACGAATTTATAATTATTCATCATAATCGGCGACGAATGAGTCATCCACTTATGCACGCAGGTAATATGTGCCTCATTTTTCTTGTTGGTAAAAATATTTTCAGAAGACATTATCGCTGCTTGAAACGTATGGAAAGACTCATTAATACACGTAACGGAAGTGTAATCGATGCTTTCGATTGTCCTTCCATCGATAACTCTCTGACGCGTGTACTTTCTCCCCTCCTTCCACTTTTTTTGCCATTTCCCTCACTCGTAATCTCGAGGCAGGCATAAATCATAACACATCCGGTTTTCCGTGAATTGAATCGAGCATGTTTGTATATATTGAAGAAGATATACGCCAGTTACTGAAGTATTTCAAAAGATTAAGTAACATTTTATTTTTTGTTTTAACGCCGTTATTACCGAATGCATACATACGCATACATGTATACTTGACAGCATTTCGGTTTATTGTTCCGATTTTTATTCCAAGGTTCATAAATTAACAATCTCGGTTAATCTGTGATCTAGTCGTAACGCGATGATAAAAACCAATGACACTGACCCACAATAATTTGAAATATTGCACGCCAAGTAATTTTTTTTTTCGCCGAGACTGCGTGTGCTAGCAATGGCCTTGTAAACTGTGGTGAGCTCGAGTCAAAACACACATCAAATTCTTTTATAGATAGTTTGAAATAAATCATCAAATCGACACTTTAAAAAATTTCTTGTTTTCAGGTATATACAAGTGACTATCTATACTTTTCACTCGAATGCTCAATGCCGAATCGAATTATCAATGTGAAAAAATTGCTAATATCATTTAGTTGTTTCACAAGTATCGATTGATCGTCCATTAAAGAACAATTAAACCCTGGATTTTTTCTTCATTTCATGGTTCGCTTAATCGGTTATAAGTAAATTTACAATTTCGTTCGGTTCGATGAAAACATAACGATTTGAGATCAGCTCTTTTCCAGGTAATTAAACGCCGCACACTTCGACTGATGTATATAGAATGCCTCAAATTCGAAGGAAAAAAATACTTGTCTCTCGTTCGCAGGTCGGATACCCGCGTGTTTTCCCAATAATGCTTACAAGCAGAAGAATCGTAAAAAAAAAGAATGTGCATGCGTGAGAGAGAGAGAGAGAGAGAGAATCGTAACCGAAAAAATTGATTCTTGCGTGCACTTTGCGTGAAAAATGTTGCAAAAATTGTGTCTAGACTTTGCTCGCTCGAAAGTGAAAGAGAGAATACACAAGTTTTGCTGCTGCCAGACGATCGTCATCATAATCATCATCATAAAGTTAAAATTACGAACACCCAAGAGAACTCCTCACGAGTGAGAGAGTGCAAAGGAGAGAAGAGAAAGAGAGTTGTGTATGTACTCACATATACTACAGTATACATATCTAAAGCGTCAAACTTCTGAGAAAAGTCGACTGGAACCGAGAAGTAGCAGAGCCGAGGCAGCTGTGTCGAGTCTTTTTCTCTTTAAAAAAGGTACAGAAAACGAAGTAGAGAGAAGATATACCTGGCCGAAAAACCAGAGAGCCTCGCGAAATCTATAGACCGCATCTATTATTTTGTCGTTCTTAGTTGTCGAGTATACGAACAAAAAAGTTTCAAAAAATAAACTGCGTTATGATGTCTCAATAAAATGGTATTATGACAATTTTCAATTTTTTCAAAGTACAAATGTACGATAGAATTTGCAAGACAATATTGATAACCATATATTACTATACTATCCAAACTCCTGCATTTGCCTCCATTTCTTTGGGCTCATTGTATACGCCATACATAAGATAGGAAATGTATACTTGTGCATGTACCCACGTTGGTGATTGCGAGAGTGTATGTGTGTGCGAATGCTCATAGTACCAAGAAATATGTGTATATGTATAGGTAGTGCTGGCTTGGCCGACGGGAGAGAAATCGCGGATCTTGCCTTCGCCGCGCGCGCGCACCGCTGCTGTTCGTCCGTGGAATTCGCGCCGTTGAATTCCTTCTTTTTTTTTTTTCTTACTCTTTCTCTTTCTCTTTTACTAATTCGCGTTACTGTATGCTGCTTCTTTGCTATGTATACTGTTCGTATATGAGTTCTCCGCTAAAGCAAACTACTTTAATCATACTTGAAGGTATCCTCTAACGCGATTCGATCTGTTAATAACGAAGTTAATTTCCTCAAGATCCTTTGATCATGCATAAAAAAAACTTGCCTCGATCAGTTTTAGTAGCTTTTTTGGCCTCCGTCGTGAAATAGGGGTTCAAACGCTAAGCACGAAATTATCAACGCGTACTTTTGACACAAGCACTCTAGTATACACACGAAGTAATGCACAATACACTTTTTTGCTATATCACTGATCCCGTGAAACAAGATCCTGTTTAAAAAATTCAAAAAGAGTAATCACACCATTTACACTCTGAATTACAATGGTCTACACAATAAAAAGGGTAATACTGCAACAGATAACAATTGAGCTGCTTACATGCGTAGTTGATAACTGACTACTGCATCTTTTGGCACGCTCCGGCCAAGTATGTCTTCACGCGTCCTACGACGTCGAGTGACTGACTGGCATCGGCGCGTCTGAATGAATGTATATAATTGCCGCCGCCACGGAATCGACGGCGGCTCGGCCTGTGTTGCGTCGGCAGTCAGCACTCGGCGTGTGTCATGTCTGTGTGTATTGGTGCTCGCACGAGCAGCGTTCAAAAAGATCTCTCGGTGTAGGCGTGACTGTACTGTTGATGTAGTAGTGCAAAACGTTGCGCACGCCGCACCGCGGCCCGATCGAGTACTCGTTTCAGCGCCAAACGATGGCTGTTACTGCTCTGTATATAGAGATATCGAGTCGTCGTTTGGAACGGATTGAAAATTCGAGGAAAAATCTATCTCTCTCGCGATGACTAATGGATTAGCTGCTCATGCTGCTTGTCAATTTTGAAATGGTTCGAAGAACGCAAGAAGAAAGACTTTTAGACAAATCTGGTCTAAATCCCTATTTGTATTTTAATGAACGTCTATTTCAACAACGAGTGATTTGGTCTTTAAACTTTTACGGCGTCAGCTGCGTATAAGAGATACGCTCAGTCACACTTCTCGACTTTAAATCAAGCTATTGACAAGCGCAGGGATATACATCGGACCAATTTTCGCTTTCTAACTTACGAAATAATAACATTACCATCGATGATAAGAATTTACTTAGGATCCTTTAAATTTCCTCAAGCAGTTTAAAATTCGTAACCATTTTGAAATGGAATTCGATTGAACGTTGGCGTAATATTAAACTAAAACTACTATTACGACTTCGGCTTATATATTAGTTATTTGAGAAAAACAATGGCTCTTTCTCCAAATACATGTAAAAAGCATTGAATGGTGCTCGGAGAAAAAAATCTTACGCCGAAATGTGATTCTTTTACGAACTTA